TCCTCTTGATTTGGCCACCTTACAGTACCACTTCTTTTGGCTCGTTTCTGTTGTGGCATATTTTTAAGTTCTTCTTTTTCAGTTCTCTAATGTTGAATACATCTCTCGTCCACTTCAAACTCTCGAACTGCTGCTATATTTCCAATTTGTTCAGCACATGAAATTACATTGAGCTTAAAACCAGCAGTATAGCTTCTGTGCCGTTTAGGTGCCATTTTCAAAAATTTTCCGCTCCCTTCTTACTTAAAAACTATCCAACAAGTACTTGTACCCAAACTGATGGCATCTGTATCTGGCAGAATGCCAAGAAAAATCGATTCATGCTGAAGGGGAAATACGTCAGAGTTCGTTATTGCAAGGCAGGTGGAGTCGTGTCCGCCTTTGAAAAAAAATTGCAGAAAAGGCGGGGGGAGAGGATGGGTCCTGGAAGATTCATCGAATGGCAGAGGAGAGAGACTATTCAAAATGATGAGAATGCTGATTTGAAAGGGGGAAGAATGTTATTGTTCTGAGATCCCGTTTAAGGTGAATAAAGCATGTAGGCCCGTTCAAGTGAAAGAATGTAAACAAAATAACATTAGCAAAAAGCAACTGAGTGGTCTTTTGTGTAGGTACAGCACCAATCTATGTAAATTGACAAGGCCATCCAAACTATGTACAATGACCACCATAGGAAATATTTTATTTTCAGTGCACCTAAACGCTGCATGGGTAGAAACACCGCACCTGCTGAAAATTTTAAGTTTTAATACGGTACATTTTCATTTTGAGCAATTTATGGGCTGGAGTTCCTTTAGCCCCAGGAAAGTCTGCAGTATTTTGTTGAAGTTTCTCAAGAGCTCTGCAAAGTCTTCAAATGGCATGGTTAGCTTATTTTACTTTTATCCCTCCATGTGAAATGCATTCTTTCACTTTGTTTCAGAATCTTCATCAGCAACATTTTACTTTTATCACTCATCCTCTATATGAAATGCATTCTTTCACTTATTGTTTCACAATCTTCACCGGGTATTGTTTCAGCATCTTCATTGGCAACAAGTCAAGTGAAATGTATTTTATGAACATTGTAGAGATGATTCAGACCTTCTACAATAGCACTGTTTTCCCTATCTGTAGAAGGCCCATTTTAGTTTCGCCAACAAAGGTTCGCTGCACTTAGCATCTTGCCATCTTCAATAGCATTGAGCATAATGCACATTTTGTTGCGAATTCTAAAAAAAAAAAAAAAAAAAATTCTGGGTGGCCAGGCGTATTATAACAGATATGCAACTTGATACATTGTAGCCATGCCCATAACTTTTTACACCAGCCTCCATCGGCAATGACAGTTATACACTGGTAACCTTCTTAAATCAGTTCAGTTCTGCCAGCCTTTTTTTCTCTTATGTAGTTTCTTGTGCACATCCCTGCATTATTTTGCCCGTAGTTCGTTCACAAGTAGCAAAGGTAGAATTGCTCATATGTGAAATTTCCATGATGCTGAACTTTTCCCCCTCTTGTGAAAACTCACTGCTAGTAGATAAGTTACCTAAAACTCGAAGTTGATTTAGGTTACTTTTCTCCAAATCAGAACAAATTGTTGCCATTTCTCCGCATAAAATTTTATCACTTATATAGTTATATGAAGTGACAAGACCATGTTGAATCATTTTGTCAGACAAATGACCCTCAAAATTTACAATTTATGGAATGCTGTTGTAACTTTCTGGCCTGCATTATCACAGAACACATATTGCAAATTGTTCTGCCAGATGGTAATGAATTTGCTTTTCATAAATCTTCTCTTTCAATAACTAAGATAAATCAGGACACACACATCCATCATCATTCTCTTGAAGAAACCTTGACTCTAAGCTAAAAAAAATTATGAATACATATCTAACAAATTAGTATTAAAACTGAAAGTTTAGGCAATAGATAGCAAATAAATTAACAATGATAATACACTGATTTAAGAGTATATTACTAATGAAAGATGAGCAATCCTCATAACTGTTGCTTCCATGATTGCAGTATCATTTGTTAACTCTAGAATGCCAGCAACCTTCATCCTTCTAGAATGGTAGCCGAAGTCATTTCGACTCCAGTGGGATTTATAAGGTAAACGTATAAACGAGAGCACAGTAACGAATACATTATTCAAATAAAACATTTAAATTTGTAATTGGGGACTATAGATACAAATATTAATTTTAAAAAAGGATAACTGAATTTATGATTTTAAGAAAATGAAAATAGCATGCTTTTCACAAAATTCATATACTTGAAATTCTTTTTAAACTAAAATTCAGGAATGCAGTTTTTACATGTGTAATCTAGATTGGCATGACATTTTCCACACACCATTTTCTTGCATGAAATACAAATATTAATAGTCATATTACCATTACAAAGTTTTATTTCACATTTCCTCCTCTTTGGGGCTGATCTCTCAAGTGGATCTATTCTGCTTGTTTTTTTTTGTGGGGGGGGGAGTTATTAGTAAGGCATATATAGTTTCGATGCATTTCATCAGCTAACATATAAGTGAACCTCTGACTTGTAATTGTTTTTTTTTTTAAGTATTTTTTTTTAAATAAACCAGGCATTTATTGCAGCTAAATCTAACATACTGTAAAAGTATGAACACACCTTGTAAAAGGTGCTTTTACTGTCTACTTTCTAGCCATCTGATCAGTTACATGGAAACCTGTGAGAACACAGGATTCTCACAGTGAACACGGGCCAGCAACACCCCAAAACCATGTTTGGTTGTTTTACAAAAATTGTTTCTGTGGCTTCCCTTCCATTGCTACTTATATCAAGAGATAGATGAAGAGTACTTAAAATCATTGCATTTTTCTTTCTTGTTCCTTGATATACTGTAAGAGTAGTGCTTGTTTTGTCATGTTTGGGAATTGGGAATCTTTCATGGACTTTGGGATTTCTCTTCTTGCCCTGCTGGTAGTTCCTACCAAGCTTGTACCCTTCTTTTGCAATTCTTCAGCTAAATGAAATGATGTAAAAATTTATCATCCGTGACATTTAAATCTTTGTTTAGAAAAGGTTTCATCAGTCTCTTAATGATGTATTCAGATAATCTTCGATTGTATTGTCATTCTTCATTTTTTCCTAGATAAGGGAAAGCACTGAGGAGGTATTTTGTTTTTACATCAACAGTAAGCCAAAACTTTCATCTATATTTTTTGGGTTTTGACGGTATAAATTGATGGCATTGTGTTTTGCTTGGAAACAGTTGTTCATTTATAGTTATATTTTCTCTAGGTTTGAAGCAAGAACTGCAATTATCAATGAAGCAGTTCAAAATTTCAAATATATTTCCAAATTTATCTGTTTGCAAACATGTAGAATGGGTAGATTTCAAGTCAAATCATAAAAACCGCAGAATTTCACTTAACCTGTTCCCCTGTGCAAAATTCAGGTCCCATGTTTTAGACCACAAGGAATGAAGCTCTGTTTCTTTTGCACCACGAGCATGTAGTATTCCAATGAAAGCAAGCAACTCATCTATAGAAAGAGACCAAGTGTCATTCTCAAGAACGCATCTTGCCTCTACTGTGGTATATTTCTTTGTATTGTTCAAAATTCTGCAATTTATAAATAAAAAACCAAGCACTCAACACACTAGTATCACCGATGTTTCTTTTGACATAATTTGTTGGTCCACTGTCTTTCCGTATAATATTTTTTTGGAGACCTTCCATGATTTTTTTTTATTTTTATATATTATCCAATCTGTGCCATCAGGAGCAGAAAGCTTCCATAACTGACGCATCTTTTAAAATTTCCTTGTTCTCACCTCCATCAGAATCTGATGAACAGTCATGTTTACATTCAAAATCAACTATTTCAAAGTCCTCATCTTCAATGTCTAATAATTTGCTCCCCTTCAGATTCATTCTGATAGCTCATGTAAAAGATTTGTTATTTCCTCTGGGTTTAATCCTTTCTTATGAGGCATTTTTTTTTTTTTTTTTTTTTTTTTTTTTTTTTTTTTTTTTTTTTTTGCAATATATTCAGCAAAGCTGAGTGGCACAAACGTTCATGAAGAATATAACGCAAAAAGCAACCATATAACTGCGAAAGAAGTCATTCCAGGAAGTAAACCACTTTTGTGTCAATGTGTGGGGTCCAAACATATAGATTCAGAATGAAACCAGGTGGTTTCAAACATGTATGGATATTTGACAACTTACAAGTGGAAAGGGAAATGTTGTGATAACTGCTATATCACTCTTTTGAAAAGCAAGTGGTTAAGACCCCTACACAGGAAGTAAAATGGTAAAACTATGTCTTCCCCCCCCCCCGGAATTAACACAACTTCATTTGGCATTCTAGGAATGTAGGCCGATAAATATTTTGAAATTTAAGTTAAATATTTATGGTTTTGTCAAGTCGTAGACATCACTAATTCATTAAAAATAACAGTAAGAAAGCAACTGAAATGAAAAATTAGGAAAGCTATGAGTGTTTTTTTAACATGCAGAGTCAAAAAGGGCTCCATCTGTTAAAAATGCAATGTAAGGCCAATATATCTAATGTTAAAGCAATTATAAGTACTATGCATCAAATGTTTTACGTAAAGGGACTCTACATCTGAGTATAAAGTGTTTGTGTTCCACTTAATGTCCTTTTCAGAGGGAGCAAGAATAACCCTTTCTTGGTGGGCGTAGGATGGCATCCTAAAAGGATGCAGTGTCTTGTGGAGATAAGCAATTTATACTGCTAAGCCCAACATTGGGTGGCGTGGGAGTCACATAAATTAAATTTGTGATCCAATTGTTCAATTGTTCTCAAGATTTGGGTAGTAATCAGAATTGATTTAAAACTTTTTATCCTTATATTTTCCTTAAAAATTTTGTAAAATGATAAATTTTAGCTTTTTTTTTTTTTTTTTTTTTAACTTTCCTCAAATAAATATATATATATATGTATGTATGTGGAAAAAATATCCACCCAGTGACAAATTTTATTTTATGGTATTTTATTAATAAAAATTATTAAGAATCTCTTTCACACCCCCTCCCCCCCAAAATGAAAGCAATGAAAAAGAAGCAATATTTGAAAAAGTGTAGTGAACTTTTTTTGTTATTCCCATCAAAATAATCAAACTCCCAAATATTTTTATTTGTTTCAATGTTACATCTGAAAATTTCGCTGAGTTTTGAAAAATAGATAGAACTTGTAATGCGAAGATGATTTTGTGCAAAACTGTTTTTCTTTTACTGTGTATTTTATAAGATTATCATAAAGTAAAAAGTAAACAAATCAATTTGTTTGCTAGCACTTCCAATATTAATATTTGGTTCTCCTACAAAATTAAAAGATTTCATCATATAAATTATGTTGTTTCAAAATGTGTTTACTTAGGTGCTCTCCCGAGGTGTACAAGGCATGCATGCTGCGATTTTTGTGTTTGATAATATGTTTATGTTAGAATCGCTATAACCATCACTTTCCGTCTTTAGAAATATATCACTGTTAGTTTGACTTCTGCTGCTTATAGCCTTTTATGAAAATTAATTTGACATCTAATTATATAATTTCTAAATTTGTCAATATCTGAAATTTAGAAACCTAATTATTTCACTCCAGTTGAGAACAATATTTGTTGTAGTAATCAGATGTGTGTGTGTGTTTATTCTAATACGTTCATGTTAGAATCGCTATAACCATCACCTTCCAATTCTTTAGAAATATATCACTGTTAATTTGACGTCTGCTGCTTATAGCTTTTTATGAAAATAAATTTGCCATCTAGTAATATAATTTCTAAATTTGTCAGTATCTGAAATTTAGAAAACTAATTGTTTCACTCCAAATGAGACCAATATTTGTTGAAGTATTAGTATGTATGTTCATTACCAAAAATATGAAGATTTAATTTCAGTGAATTAAATTTATGACTGCCATGTGTTTATTTAATTTCTAGGTAAAAGTATGACTAGCATTCTAATGGAAAATCCTATATGAAATGAAGAACTGCTACCAACTGCACGAAGAAGCAGGCAGTGCATCAAGTTTTTTTTCTTTGTGTGTGTGTGTATGTGTGTAATTAATTATGCTTGATTAATGCTATTTTTAGAATTCTAATATAAATTGCAAGTTTGTAGGGCATTGATAATAACATCATGTATTTAGACCAATTTGAAAGCCAAATTATCTGTGCAGAAGATATTTTTAATATCAAATATCTCTAAAAATAAACTAACATTAAACTCTAAAAATGCATGTTTTTGTGTCTGCATTATCCAGTTTCTAATATTTTTTTTTTATTTGTAAATTTTGTAAGGAATGTTGTGGCTGCTATATTGTTACTATTAGGAATTTGATTTTTTAAATAACATTATGGCTGAAAAGTCAAATAAGCCATCTAATGTCTGGGGGAAACCTGTGCCTATGAAACTCTTTGCAGCTTGGGAAGTGGATAGAACTCCTCCAAACTGCATCCCCAGGCTGTGCACATTAAATCTAACTAGACTTGTTCTTTTAAAACCTGTTGGGGGAGATATGAATTCTGTTATTATAGCTGTAAAAATGCAGAGTTCCAAAAGAACATTACGTTCAAATGAAATAATGGTTCTTAATAATGGCCTTATTGATACAGAACTCGATCTCACTTTCTCTTTACAGTACCCTCATTTTTTAAAACGCAGTAGAAATAATTTACAAATAATGCTTCAGAGAAGAAAGCGGTATAAAAACAGGGCTATGCTAGGATTCAAAACCTTAGCTGGTGGAGTAATAAATATGGCTGAAGTTCTTCAAAGGCCAATGGATAAGGAATTAGAACTACATTCAAATAACAAAGAAAAAAGTGAAGTTATTGCAAAAGTATTGATGTATGCCATTTCTAGTCAACCAGTAGACCACGAAGATGCTGACCGGCAAAAGTCATTGCGAGGTATTGAAAGAGTTGTTGAAGTGGATAATTTTTCAGATGAGGAGGAAGAATATACATCAAATGAGGATGGTTGTGATAGTGAACCAGTTGCTGAAGATGCAGCGACTGTGGGAGAACGTCATATTCATAAATCTTTGAATCAAAAGATTTTTCAGTCAGGCGTAGAGCGTCCTGACCCTGCTGAACGAAATATAAAGCAAAAAATTATTGCCTTGCTTAAGAAATTCAGAATTCCTGAGGCTGAAGTGTCTGATTCGGAACAGCTGCAAGAAGAACTGGAACAGGAGCTTATTTCCCAAAATCCCCAAGAATTTGAAGATCTTATTGATGAACTTGAAAGTATGAGTGATAGTGGTCCAGATGTTGATGATATTAGCATAACATCAACTCCAAAGCCTAGTTTACGACCATTCTTTTCTTCTGGTACTTTAACAGCATTAGATAAGTCAAATATGCCTTTGGTTAGTGATGATAGTTCGAGAAAAACTGATGAAAATCATGAAAGTGGCACTGATCAAGAGAATACCGATACTAGTCAAACTGCGAGTCCACCAAAATCATTAGCTATGGATGATAAAAAATCTTTCATTCAGTCAGGTTTAGAAAAAGAAAAAAAGACTAGGTTATTTATGCGAGAAAAGAATACATCAAAGGACCGCTCAACTAGTTTTAAAGACAGTAAAGATAAATCGGTATATGAAAAATCAATATCAAAAGATTCAGAATGTAGTCCCCAAAAAACTGTACTGGAACAGTTAGCTAGAATATTTCCTTCTGATGATTCCATTCCAGATCGTTTAATAGTTATCAGTGCTATTGATACAGTGGGAAACTCCTTAGCTGTGAACCTTTTAGATAGAGATTTAAATATTATCACAGTCTTCTCTAATTCAGATTTAAGAGCAATGTTTTCTTGTTTGATGAACAAAATACAAAAATTTTGCAACTGCAATTCTCGTGCTCCGCAGAGTATAAAAGTAGGCATTCTTGGTCATGACAGTTTTTTTAGCTCTGTTTTACGTCTGTATGTTGAGCATTTTTCAGCCAAACCATCTGAATGGCAAACATATGTGAAATTTTATGTTGTTCCATTAGCATCTAGCTCTGTTGCAAAGCACTTAAGTAGTATTGATAACACTTATGCTCTTAAATTTATTGATAGCTCTTGGAAAGATCTTTTAGATCATGGCAGTGATGTATCAACCACTCCTGAAATACATGTAGCTGTTGATCGGATATTACATTATTTAAACAATGCATCAGCCTTATGGCAGATGGCTATTGCTGAGGCAATGGTAACTTACAAGGAAAAAAGCTCAGATGATGAGTCGTCTCAGGTTTTTATACCTTTTATCACAGATGTGAAAATTGGTATGATGGAAGGCATAACTCAAACTACATCTGTAGATTCAGAGGAAATGTCTTCCAATTTAACTGTACCTGGTGGCTCACCTCCATCTAACGTAACAGAAAAAGTTCCTCGTGAAAGCACTACACCTCCTAGTTCTCCTAGTATTTCAAGTGCACTCCTTGGAAATAGTCCCAATGTACTTCCAAGCGCACCTGCTATTGCTGAAACTATGGATTTACAACTTGATTATTGGACATTATCTCAAAAAACTGATGCTGGCAAGAAAGGAGAAACTTCAAAGTTAAGTTTGAAAACTACTTTTCGCACTCTTCAAGTGTCACGTGTTAGCGGCTCTGTCGAATCGGGATCATCATCCCTTACTCTCACTTATGTAACCAAAGAGAAGAAACAAAAAATCATGAGATTAGGAAAGAAGAAAGAAAAAGAGAAAGAATTGGATAATCGCTATCAGCAAGTGGATGGTATTCACAGACTTATATGTTCTTGCCGAACATTGCAAGCTCCACTTAAAGTAACTATTGATGGTGTTGAATGGAGTGGAGTGAAATTTTTTCAGCTTACTTCCCAATGGCAAACTCATATAAAATACTTTCCAGTGGCATTATATTCTCTGCAGGAGCATACATGCTAAAATTTCATTGTATTACTCGGTTTGCTTTTTAGTGCCAAGAGCATGAACGTAAAATATGTAGTCCAATGTGTCTTGCTGTGTGTGTTATTAAAATATTTGTTCCTTAAACATAATGTTCAGTTTACATAACATTTTGTACAAAATATATCTCTTACTTCATTTGTTTCCACCCTTTAACTTATTAAACAGAAAATTTTCTTTTTGTGTTGTCATACAGTTTAGGAGATGCACTGTTACTGTAATAGTCATAATATTTGAAAATTTTTCAACTGTTTTTGTCTAAATATTTTTATGCTAAATTTTCATGAATATTGTAGCTTATGGTGTTACAGATTGTTGTTGTCTGTGATAGATGGCTGTATTAATGGCTGTGCTGCTTACTGGTCATTTAAATTTGACATATAAACTGTTTAATACATTGAAGTTTTGAATATCTTAATTATAAGGCTGTGCTGTAATTTTACTATTTTTGTAAGCTCAATGAGCATATTTTGTCTATTACACCCTGAATATTTTGTGATGTTGCATGCCTTTCTTGTTGCATATTTTTTTGTATTTGAATTTAATAATGTAATGAAGAGAAAAATAATTGTATTTTTCGTAAAAACGGCATATTGAAATATTAGTTGAATTCAAAATGTGGGTGTAATAGTTGTTAATTACATTCATCTAAAGTACTTGTGCCCTTCCTTTTTAAGTCTGGAGATGTATCTTAAAACATGTTGATGTTATTCTTCCATGTGTAAACCATTTTGGTTTTTTGATGTAGCCGTATAAATACTAGTCTGTCAGTGGTATATTAAAATATTATATGATATTCTGTATTGTCTGACTGTAGAATGCAGATATACAATTTGTTTGAAAACTGAGAACAACGTAAATACATTTTGCTATATGTGTAGTGTTTTTCTGGAACTGTGTATTTAAAGTTTTTAATGATTCAAAAGTAGGTATTTGTGTTACATTTGTAATTATGGTCACTTTAGGGGTGTAAGTATGCATTAAAAATCAGTGAGAATTGAGTTAGATTAAATTTTGTTATTGTTATGTTTCTTATCTGCCTCTTAAAAATAATGGGTTTTTAAACATTGAACTGCTACATTAGCTGTGTCACTGAAGCTTTATAAATCATGCTGTAGCAGATGCAGCTAACATAATTTCCAAGGTTTTGCCTTTAATTTATCAAAGTGAAAAATAAAGTTTAACCCTCTGAGTGGCACGGCCGTTTAGATCTGCTTATGAAGAGCTTAAAATGGCATTTATTTGCTTAACTTTTACAATATATTGTTTTAGTCAGTGTTCTCATAAACTTGCTTTCACAAGATAATATTTATATCATTAAAGAAAATACGAAATCATGATGTTTTAATTAGGTAATATGCACTGAATGACAAAAATTTTCATGGCTGGATAAAAGCAGTCATGCCACTCAGGGAGTTAATAATTTGAATGATCATGAAATATTTAAACACTGGGAACTGAAAATTCTCCTATGGTTTAATCTTCATAATTTAAATGTTTTTAGTGTTTCAGTGTTCCCTTTTTTTTTTTTTTTTTTTTTTTTTTTTTTTTTTTTTTCCATAAGCTGTTTTTAGTACAGATTACTCTACATGATATCATTTATTTTTAATAATTAATTTTAAGTTAATTTGTCCGAGACAGGAATTAATTATATAATTATGTTAATACTTTTACAGGCTAATTAATATACAGTACAAAATCCAAGATCCGGACATACAGAACGATCTAAAATCCAGACCTCAAAAGCCACCACCACCTTTTTTTTAAGGGAATTATTTTTCTAAATGCTTTACACATGCGCATTTGGTTTTTTTCGCCCTCCTCTGCAATAAAACGTGGAGAGTCCCGATTCTGAATTTCTCTTCGGCACTAAATAAAATACTTCGTTATTGAGGAAACAATCATTTTAACATAAATTTGTGTGATGAATAATTTGGCTCCATAGCTGTGTATCTGCTCCACATACATCTCAAACTGAAACATTCTAGCACATAGAAACATCGTTGATTTTGTACCTAATGTTTAATATCCTAGACGCCAACCTCACGTTTCCAGATACAATAACAACACTACTACAATACCAACAATACTCACGTTTCCAGAGTGGTATCAGAGGTACTTCTGTTTAATGTAAACTCACAACTGAAATCATAGCCAAAACAAAAGTAAGAACTTGTATTCCAAACTGGAAAAGCAAACCAACTGGTTAGCACATATAAGATGCAAGTTTGACACACTTGCCACTAGATGGCCCTACTCAAGTGAGACTTTTGCTCCATCTTCAGATATTCAAGGCTTTTTGAAATATTTTAGCATAAAATCTGCTATATGGAGCATCATAAGATCTTGGGAGGATGTATTTCCAGATCTTTTAAAAAATGCTTGGTATAATTTATGGCCAGCTACCATATTTCATGGTAAGGATGATGAAGATTATAGCCACGAATTTGAATGTTTTCAGATATATCATACGAAATGTAAAAAACAATCCAATTTCCCAGTTAATTGAACTTCTAAAGAAATGTGGTGAAGCAGTTAAATGAAGATGATATAACAAAGTTTTCATTTTCATTGCGATACAATGCCCCAATCATCAGTCAATTAACGGACGGCGAAATCTGTTGTATGGTTCTAGATCTAGAAAATACTGCTAGCCATAGTGAAGAAAGTAACAGGTTGCTGAAAATGAAAAGATTTCAATTGACAAGTTATTCAGAATTCTTGACTCGCCAATTACAGGACATGAACAATAGAACTTAATGACTGAACAACAAATTATGTCTGTCTACAGAATTAAATCCATGTTAAATTTCTTGAATAATGCCAAGGCTGTTCAAGAATTTTTGAAATATTTTTGCACAAATTCTGCTGTGTGGAGCATTTCAATATTGTGGGAGGATGTGCCTCCAGATACTCTAAAAAGTTCTTAGCATAATTTATGGCCAGCTACCATATTTCATAGTGAAAATGATGAAGATGAGCATTGAGAATTCGAAAGCTTTCGGATATCGCAAATGATGGGTGAAATTTTCCAATTAACCTTCCAGCACGCACGCGTCATATTTTTTACGACATCCATTATTTGACCTTTTTTGGCACGAAAAACAATAGAAATGAGTGAATATTGATAATAACTTTGTTAAGGAATAAAATATTAATCCTATAATTGCAAACTATAAATGATATCACATTCAAATGTAAGTAAATTATTTTTTAAGTTATGTTGGTGAGATGGAAATGCAGTGATGTATTTCATTGTAGAAAATTTTATATTTATTATTTAATAATTATATTTTAAAATCGAAGCTAATTTTAATATTCATCAAAGACAAGTATAGACAATAAAAAAGGAAAACACGTTGGTAGGTAAAAAGTAAGTTTAGCATTACTTCTGCAAGGAAATTTACTTCTTACTGGTTACAAAAACGTACTTTAAACTAACTTTAATGTTTTTATTTATTTCTAAAAAATAGAAAATAAAAGAAAATAAGGAATGGAAATCGCTATTATTCTCCCATCCAAAGGTTTCCTTTTCTTTATCAGATAATTCTTGAAGAATCCGAAGCTGGTTTCATATTTTTTTTTGCCATGAAAACCGATATAAAATTTGCAGAGCCAAATGTATTCAAATTAAAATAATACATGATGATGAATAACACAAAATAACAAAATATTTGAGAAAAAAAGTATTTTCCGAATTTTAAAACATGACCACGCACATGTCGTAACTTTTATGAAAAAGCTGCTATGTAGCACAAAAGCCCAGTTAAAAAAAAAAAGTCAAATAACTTTCTGTTGGCACATTCCATGATGTGGGAAAGGGTAGAAAGGAGGAATAGAAATGACCTTCAGGTGTCTCAGCTTCGATATGCGAAAAATGTGCGTTAAAAACTGAATTTGTCATAAATTTTGCACATGCTGGAAGGTTAATGCATTTTGTAATGAAATGTGGAGAAGCTGTAATAAATGAAGATTGTATAACAAAAGTTTTTCATTGCGGCGACAATCCTCCAATCATCAATTAATTAACGGATGGTGAAATCTGTAGTAAATCCAGAAAATACTGCTACCGACAGAGAGGTTATTGAAAATAAAAAAATTTCGATTGGCAAGTTCGATTGACACAGCAACTACAAGACTTGAACAGTGGAACTGTAATTGAACAAGACACTATGGCTGTCTATAGAATTAAATAGAAAGTACTGGCATATAAAACAAAACAACTTACATTGAAAGAAATGTTTAAAAAATTAAAGAAATAAATATTAAGCCTTTTTTTTTTTTTTTTTTTTTGTAATTTTGATACCCTTTATATCATAAATGCTTCATTATTTCATATAAATGACGATGTCATATTTTAAATTTTATAATTTCATTATTTCATATAAATGACGATGTCATATTTTAAATTTTATAATTTCTACATGCCATCTTACTAGATTTAAACTGGTCATCTAATATCCGCAATCGATGAATCTCGACCTTGGACTTTGTATTGTACTTCATTTGTTTTGTGAATTTGACAGCTTTTTTGTAATCAGTTAAATTGTGACAACTGCATACTATAATAGATACAATATAATGACAACTCGCACTTCACTATAATAGATGAACCTTTTGGTCTCATTCAGTTGCCTGTATGCTTAATGTTATTTTATGCTGCTGTAGCAAACTGTGAAAATTGGAGATTACAAATTATTTGGATATCCTCATTTGAAACTTTTTTAATATTTTTTCCAGATTTTAATGAAAAAATTACTGCCACTTAAAATCATCGAATTTTAGGATGTTGGAATCCATATTCCACATTGCATTCATAAAGGAAAAACCTTTACGTTACTTTTCTTTATGTTCAGCCTTACTTTCCTCTTTGTTCTAAACAAAGTCTGTGTAACAGGTATGACACCCAATCTAGGAGAACGAGGACATAATAATCAAATCTTTAGACACCATATGGTGTATGTGACCATTATTTCCACTTACATCCAAATTGGGAACTTGGCATACTTTAGGTCTTTTGAAAAACAGGATATTCTTTAAAAAGTTATTGAATCTTTCCTTTGTAACCATACTTGTCTTAAAAGTTAAAAGCAAATTTGTTAACATTTTTTGTTATTTGTTTTCATAAAATAAGAAACACTATATTTTTGCGAGATACTTTTCTGATTAAAGTGTGTATAGCGAGTGAAATTTTTGGTCCTTTGAAGTTTGTTATAGCGAGGTCTGACTGCCTTTGAATAATATTCATTGTGCATGTAGTAATTCTATATCTAAAATTCAGTGATATTATGTCATGAAGTTTGTGAAAAATGCTTTTTTTTGTGTGTGTATGTATGTGTGTGTGTGTGCATCAGTTCATGTTATAATCTTAATGCAATAAATCAGTATCGGTAATATTACTTTTTCATCTATATATAACAGGGATGGCCAAACTTCAAGACGATGGGAGCCGCATGATAGGTTTTATGAATGTTCGAGAGCCGAAATTTCAAATTTATATCGTTTTCAAAAATAATGATACAGGTTTTGAATCTAAAGAAACTTTTGAAGTAAATTAATGAATCTGTGATTACATATAAATATGAATACATCTTGATATCTTCTGTTTTGTATTCAGAAATGTTAAGTCCTAAGAAAGTACAAATTTGTAACTTGAAGTTTTATGATTTAAAACTTTTTTTTTGTATTTTTTAAAAAGGAAGTATTGTAACCGTGAAAAATTTCACGTATCATATTTCAACAAAAATATCCATTTTGACCACTATCGAATGCAATTACTAATGATGTTGTTTTTGCATGACATCTGTGCATAAGGACAGAATAAAGGACTCTTTTTCCCAAAAAAAAAATTATAAAACTGATTTACAATGAATTTTGAAGAGATTGTTTTGTAGCATCTGTACATACATACGTACTTAACTTGCATAACTCAAAAACGAGTAGCCTCAGAATGTTGAAATTTTGTATATAGGACTGCTATAACATGTAGATGTGCACCTCCCATTTTAGTTGCAATCGGCCACACCAAAAGTATATATATATATATCCACTCTGTTACTTGTCTTGGTGAGCTGTTTTTTTATTCTTATATGTTTGTAAATTGTGCAATTTTTGCTTTAAAAATGATTTAATTATGTTGTTCCGGTTAAGATTTGTATGCCTTTAGTTAACCTGCATGCAATAATTGTGGAATTATAAACAATTCTAATGTTTTTTAAGTACAGCTAAGCCTAATTTTTGATTACCATGGCAGCCATGTTTGTTTACATATGAAACTTGGCAGAATAGTAGATTTGTTGCCAATCCAGAAAAACTAAGCTTCGCAACAACAAAGTAACATCTTTTATTATTGTGAATTAAATTATGCTTCATTCATTCTGGAATTATCATTTAAGTTATTAGCTTGTTTTTGCATACAAATTGTAAATTGTTTGTTTTAACTGTAGTTGTTGTTTTGTGTGTTTTTT